TTGATACCACTCTAACCCACTGTCGATCAACCTTCGATTCTGATACCACTTGTTGGATCTTTCGAGGGGGATTCACAGGGGAGAACACATCAATGAGACAAGAGCACAACCCATATAAGGGATTGACATCACTCTCAACCCAAAACCTTAAGGCATTGGGTTATGGGTCACATTTCCTTATATGTTGCTCAACTTTCTCATTCTTACCCAATGTGGGACTTAGAATCACACTTGTATTTCCTAACACATTTTCCAGAAAATATCAAAGGTTGCAATAACAAAGGAAGTGTGGGATATTTTGAAGAATAGATATGAAAATTCTGGAAGGTCAAGAAGGTGAAACTGCAATCATTGAGAAAGCAGTATGAACTCCTTACTATGATAGAACAAGAAACAATAGCAGAGTACTTTGGTAGATTGCGTGTTTTGATAAACTCTATGTGAGCCTGTGATGAGAGTGTGAAAGATTGCAAGATTGTAGATAAGGTGCTGCAAACTTTGATCCCTCAGTTCAACCACATTTGAGTTGCTATTGAGGAATCCAAAAATCTCGAGGTTATGTCAATTGAGGAATTATAGAATTCCTTAGAAGCACATAAACAATGAATAATTGAGAGGAAGAATTGTGAGAAAGTCATTGAACAAGCTTTACAAGCTAGAGCCAATTATCACAAGAACAAGGGACGTGGTGAAAAAATATTTAGAGGTAGATCAAGAGAAGGTAGAAGTGGTGCCAGAAACGTAGATGTTTCATAATCAACTAAAAATGATTTTTCTTCTTAACAAAAGGACAACTCAGGTTGTAAAGGTGGAAAACAATTCAGAGGGAAAGATAGGAAGAACTTTGATAGAAAGAAGGTGTAGTGTTATAATTGTGATTAATTTATAAATTTTTCTTATTAATGTTGGCAGAATGATTCTATAAGCAAGAAAGGAAAGAAAAATTATGAAGCACATCTTGTGCATGAGGAGGAAAGTTTTGATTCAAATCAAGTATTATTGATGGTAACTACCACAAATAGTGGAGAAAATGATTGTTCATGATATCTTGATACAGGTTGCTCTAATCATATGACTAGAAATAGGAATAGTTGGTGGATCTTGATTCTAGTGTAAAGAGTAATGTAAGATTTGTTGACAACAATACTATTGTGGCATAAGGAGTGGGTAAGGTACTGATTACATGAAAAGATGGGAAGACTGCATACATGAATGATGTGTTGTATGTCCCTATTATGAAAACGAATTTGCTTAGTTTAAGGCAATTATTAGAGAAAGGTTACATCATGTCAATGCAAAAAAATCATATTGAAGTGTTTGATGACAAACAACCACTGCTATTCAAGGCTCCATTGTCCAAGAACAGAATATTCAAGATAAACTTGAATGCAACCGTAATTCAATGTTTATCAACTACTCATATTGAAGAAGAAGGTTGGCTATGACATTATAAGTATGGACATTTAAATTTCAAGAGTTTAAATCAACTTGGCAGTAAGAAAATGGTGAGTGGCATACCCTTGATACATTCTCTTAAGAAGGTTTGTGAATGATGTGTGATTAAAAAACAATCTAGGAAAAGATTTAAGAAAACTACACCTCAAAGAGCTAAACAACCTTTTGGTATAGTACATTCAGATGTGTGTGACCCTTTTAATGTTTCATCTCTTGGAGGTAATAAGTATTTGCTATGAATGAATTGACTAGGAAAATTTGGTTGTACTAGTTGAAAGAAATCTTCTCATGTTTTGAGAAATTCTGCATCTTACTAGAGAGACAAGCTAAATGGAAGGTGAAGATACTCAAGACTGATGGTGGAGGTGAATATAATTTAAGGAAATTTAGTGAGTTTTGTGTTGCTAAAGGCATAGAGCATGAAATAACAACTCCCTACACACCTTAGCAAAATGGCTTAGCTAAGAGGAGGAATAGAACCTTGTTGAACATGACCATGTGCATGCTTAGAGCAAAAGGCTTGCCTCATTGTTTTTAGGGTGAAGTTGTATCTACTATAACATATGTGTTGAATCAATGTCCTACAAAACGACTTCAAGATTATACTCCTAAAGAAGCTTGATCAGGTCATAAACCTATGATCATCATTTCAGAATTTTTGGATAATTGTGCTATAGACATGTTCCAGATGAGAGGAGAAAGAAGTTATATGATAAGAGTGAAGCATTTATCCTAACAGGATATCATCCAACTGGCACATACAAGTTGTATGATCTGATAAAGAAGTAGGTGATTGTTAATAGGGATGTGGTTGTAGATGAGGTAGCCTCCTGGAATTGGGAGGCTAACATGAATAATGATGTGATGTCTTCCATTCAGTGTGTGCTTAAAAATAAAGCTGCGATTTTGAGAGACAATGCAACAGAGGTACCAGCTATTAGAAGATCATAGAGAGTGAGGTTTCCATCCTCTAAACTTGTTGGCCATGAGTTGTTCAGTGACAATGATATTGTTGACAGTGGTGAGTTAGTGCATCTTGCCTTTCTTGTTGACAACCACTCACATGGAGACAAGCCATAGACATTAGTAAATGGAAGGATACTATGGTAGAAGAACTAAAGGCTATTAAAAAGAATAAAACCTGAGAGTTAGTTGATTAACCACAACATAAACACTCAACTGATGTGAAATTGATGTTTAAAATCAAATTTAAACCAGATGGGACAATAGTCAAACATAAGGCCTTATTGGTTGTCAAAGACTTCATGCAAGGATGGAGACTGTGCGACCAGTAGTTGTTGTGGCCAATTGGAGAAATTGGAAAATATGTTAGTTGGATGTTAAATCAACATTCTTAAATGGTCCCTTAAAAGAAGTGTATGTAATGCAATCACCAGGTTTGAAATCAAAGGTGTAGAACATAAAGTATATAGATTGAAAAAGGCTTTGTATGACCTTAGGCAAGCACCTCAGGCCTGAAACAAGCTTATTGATACTTTTCTGGTTAAATAAGGATTTGTAAAGTGTATAGTTGAGTTTGATGTTTATGTAAGAGAAACCACAAATCAGACTTTGTTAATTGTGTGTGTCTCTACCTAGATGATATGCTTGTGACTGGAAGTGCACATGACAAAATTAATCAATTCAAGAAGAAGATGAACTCAGCATTTGAGATGATTGATATAGGAATTCTCAATTATTTCTTAGGTCTGGAATTTGTACACACTTTCAAAGAAATCTTACTCCATAAAAAAAGATACATTTGTGAAGTTATGAAAAAGTTTAATATGGAGAATTGGAATGCAGTCCCCGTACTAGTCATTGCAAATATGAAGCTAACTAAAGAGCTTAATGAAAGAACAGTGAATGCAATATTATATAAGCATATTGTAGGATCTCTCAAATATGTTTGTAATAATATACCTTATATTAGCTATGGAGTTGGTTTGATTAGTAGGTTTGTGAATGGTCCTAAAACACCACATATGGCAGCAGTTAAGCATATACTGAGATATTTGAAAGACACAATAGAACTTGGTCAACTTGGTCTATTTCACCCTGAGACAGACAAATCAAACTGAAGTTGTTCTAGAAGTTTGGTCTAACTCAGATTGGTGTGGAGATAAGGTTGAAAGAAGTACATTCAACTACCTATTCAAGTACGTGAATCTATCAGTTTCTTAGTATTTAAAGAAATAAAGTATTGTAGCATTTTTTTCTTGTGAAGCTGAATATATTACATTTGCAGAAACAACATACTAGTGTGTGTGGTTGGAAACATTGTTGGAAGAGCTAAAATTGGAATACAAAAAACCAATCCAGTTGTTTATGGATAATAAGTTTATCATTAGCCTATCTAAGAATTTGGTTTGTCATGAAAGGAATAAACACATAAAAACAAAATATCACTTTTTAAGAGGTAAAGTTAGTAAAGGTAAGTTGGAGCTTGTGCACTATTCCACATATGATCAAGTAGTTCATGCCTTCACCAAATCTCAAGACAAATTTAAGAATTAGACAGACTCATTAGGATTAAAGTTATTAGATATTTTAGATTAAGGGAGTGTGGTGTGTAAATCTAAAATAAATTTTGTGTCTATAATCCTATTAATTGTAACATTACAATTATACATAATTATTATGTTTCATATATAATTGTAAATTCACCGACAAGAAATCTCATAATTTCTCTATCTCCCATGATATATTGTGTTTACTTACATTTTGCCAATCTCAACCAAACGAGTTGGAATACTTTAACAGTATAACTCTACCACTAGTCATATCCAACACAAAATCCAACTTTATGCAACTAATTTGTGAATCAACGATAACCACGTAAGATACAGGGTTCACATTCCCATGATATCACTTTGAGAACGAAAATTATTCACCCTAGGATTCCTGTTTCTCACCTCAAAGTTGGAAATCCTTTTTGGAAGAGACACTAGTGATTTTATAAGCTTGCGTTTACTGTTTTGTTTCTTAAACTCCAACCACAACGGCAACATAATGATAGAAAAACATTTAGTCTCAAATTTACTTTTGTCCACCTTATCTTCTCGATTCGGAAATGATTTACCCAATTGCATTTTTAGACTTAATTAAATTTTTTTAATAAAATTTTTAAAAAATATATTGCGCATAATCTTACATGACATCTAAAAGTGTCAACCTCACAATTTATAATTCTACGCGTTTTAAACAATAATATATGAAGAGTAAAAAACATAAAATTATACGAAACTTTAAAAAAACTATATATAACAACATGACAAGTGAGCTTGACATCGATGTTTATAACAAAATTTACATAAAAAAGCAACTAATAATTGCTTTGCGGAACCACGTCCAGCCAGCGGTAATAAATGTGTTACCAAACACACTGATAGTTGTAACAATTTATACACAGCTCATTCAACTGAAGGAAATTTCAACATCAAACAAAACAAGGAAAGTCTAGATTGGACGGTTACGCAGGAGAAGACTAAATGAAACAAATGTATACAAAAATCTACAGTTCTCTAGTTGAAACAGTATTGAATTCAGTGACTGGTAGAGGGTGATGATGTGTTTCCCACCTTCAGAGCAAGCCATAGAAAAATGCAGAAGGAGACACAAAGAAAAGCAAGCATAATTATAAGCACAGATTTGAACGAGATGAGCGGGGCGAAAAAGAACACGGCAGCAATTGTAGCACATTGCCATATCTTTAGCTGAGCAAAAGCCCCTTCCTGCACGGGAGAGCAACATTAGAGGCAACCTAAACTAAGTTCATGCTAGAATAAACCTTAAATCATAAATAATATGAAGATAAAATGAAAGGATCTTTCCTCATTTATTAAAATCAACTTATGCATTTCACCTTCTTGTGAGGCAACCTAAACTAAGTTCATGCTAGAATAAACCTTAAATCATAAATAATATGAAGATAAAATGAAAGGATCTTTCTTCATTTATTAAAATCAACTTATGCATTTCACCTTCTTGTGGATAAGTTAAAGTAGTAAGTTTCTACAAAAGTTGAGTATTTAAGTTGATTTTAGCTTATAAAATAAACTCAATTCATTTTACAATTTTATTTCATTTTCGCACAAGAAAATATGGAAAAACATATCTAATAACATAATTATTAAGCAAAAGATGGAAAATAAAGCATCAGAGTTACTGGGAGAATACGTGACAGATAAAAAGAATCAAGCAGGAATCAAGCAGAAATCAAGAGCAAGGAGAAGAATAACCAGGGGATGTACAAGTTGTGAATCAAATATATGCAATCAGCAGCTTAGAGACATGAACAAGCAAAAATAACTGAAACAAAACAGCAATGGAAAAGGAAGTAAACATGTAAATAGGGCATCATTTGTATACCGTGTCGTGCTTAAATAGTATTCCAATCAATGCATTAAGTTGCGTCATTAAAACTCCATCACTAACGCCCAATAAACCAGCCAAAAAGAGTATGTAAAGAGTACCAATGAATCCGCTACTTATACTGCATCAGGAGTGGTAAAGAGAGATTTATGCACGATGAAATAACATTAGAGAAAATAAATTAAATAGGATCAACTTCATTCAAACAAAATTAATTACTGCTGACCTAAAATCTAGCAGAAGTAAGATTAATACGACTGCCTGAGCAAAAACTCCAACGGAAACTATTGTTGTAACAGACGTGAGACCGGAGGTGAGACGACCAGCAAGCAGAGAACACTGACATTCATAGATATTAAGAAAATAAAATAGATGCCATTAGAACATATTTTGATCTAGGGCGCTAAATGTTTAGAACCACCAAGAAAAAATGTAGAACATGGCAGTTTCCTTGTCTAGATGGTATCAGTTGCTATAAGACATTTCAGAAAATAAATATAAATAAGTAAATAAATAAAAGATTAGGAAATAAGAAACAGAAGCTCGTTAACATAATACAATCGAAGTTAATTTTAAACAACCAGCAATGGCAAGGAATTATAGTTCTGCATTCCTGTACTTACTATTCCATCAAAAGCCCCATATGCTGCCATTGAACTACCCACACCGGAAATACCAATTGCGGGAGTTACAACGTACTTGGTAAATTCAGCCCTACAAAAAGGTTTTTCGTTAACAAACAAGATATAACAAGAATAAAAGGGCACCATAAATCATAGAATCCTTATCGAAAATAAAAAACAATGAATGCCTCATAATTCATAAGAAATTACCACACAAATGCTTGTTGTAGACCTGAATATGCAATAAGGGGTATGATCAATAACATCTTTATATCAGACAAAGCACTGGCAAGTGACTTAGATAGAGACTTCAAGGACGCACATGCACCAGCATCTGCACCTGAAAGCTCTTGTTCCCCCTTAGTATTAACACTCCGTTGGCGCAAGAAGCACATTAATATTGCACCAAAAGTCATAATGAAAAGGAATACAATAAACAATAAAGTTGTTCCTTTGGTACTTCCCTCCTGCATTGATGAGAAACATTCAAATCCTGAAAATATTATTAACATTTTAATCAAAAGCTTTTAAAGTTATTGTTGAAGGGGTACAATTAAAAACCAAGCTCTTATTTACATTTCCTCGAAATCTTCTGCATATCATACAAATTAACATCTTTTCATAATATTAATAAAAAAATAAAATAAGAAACTAAAAAGAAAACAAAGAAATGCTAGTTTACAGTGCTTAGTTTTAGAATCAAAACTGGCCTAATATTAGATTAAGTTTTCTTTTATTGATTGAAATTCCTGTAAGTTTCAATAGTTTGGGAATGAGACATCAAATAGAAAATGGCGTGAATTTATCAAGAAGTGTATTATAAAGTGTGCTTGTAGCATTTCACATGGATAAATAGTGGTCTATCACAAGTTAAGGACTTTATTTATAGGAAAGCTGATACAGTTTCGATTCAACAATTTGGACCACGGTTTCCATCATCGTAAAGTTAGTTGAAGTTATTTTCGTTTTTCTGAAGATATTTCACTAGTGGCAATGCTTCATTCTTAGTATCTAACAAGGTAAGGGTAAGCTTGACTAATATTATGAACTAATAGTTAAAACCAACAGAATAAAAGAACATTTGAAAAATGTGAAAGACAAAATAGCACGTACCTGCTGATCATCACTCAGTAAAGCAAATGTAATAAGATTTCCAATAAACTGCAAAACAGGTATTTCCTAGATCAATTTCAATTCTAAATATGCATGGTTGACTCAATTCATTTAATTCATAACCTAAATATATTTAGGTTGTGCTAACCTATAATCTTTGTAATAAATAATATTTTTTTAAAATAAAAAAATATTTTATTAAAATATATATATATATATATATATTAATTTATATATCATATCATTATATCTAAAGTTAAAATTACTTCATAAATATAACTTAAGTTTAATATCATTATATCTAAAATTAAAATTACTTCATAGATATAACTTAAGTTTAATATATATATATATATATAATGTAAACTTAATTTTTTTTTATTTTTGGATAAATTGCTTTTATATGAATAAGTTGTGATTATTTTATTTTTTAATTTTCAAATCTTTAATTTGGTCAAAAATAATCCTTAACTCATAAATCTAACATAAGATTAATCTCAATAAAAAATTATAGTTGATTTTAACATATAAATCATTTAATTCTTTTACATGTAAGGCAAGACTAGAACATCCATTTACACAACCCTAAATAATATGATCACCTGATGGAGTGCATACACGGCCCAGAATTCCCCATTGAAGTCACCAATTACTGCACCTTCATGTAATTTGTTATCTGAAGAATGGCTGCGTGCAGCAGAAGTGAGATATGTTCCCTGACAGGTCAAACTACGATAAGCAAAGATGCAGGTGACAAATGACAATGTGAAGGAGCTAGAAAACCTTGACTGGCTAATTGTACCTCTCCAACCCATATTATGGAAGCGCAAAACCCAAGATACACAGAAGCAGGGACCAATGTATACCTGCACAAAGCCCATATTATGCATATAAATTAGTATTATGATTGACAGCATACATAGTCCTAAAGTTAAAAAGAAATGGTACTCAGATATAAGAGCAGATCTAAGAGCATGTGTGAGCAACAATCATAAATGATAATACAGAAAGGTAGATATTGGTTCACATAGTTGTCCCACTCATTTGGTTTTTGGTCCCTTGGGAACCTAATAAGTTTAAATATAGGACCTATCCATCATGGAAAATAAATCAATTGTTTAAGAATGGAAAACAAAAATATAAAAACTAAAATTCAAATAATTGAAAAATATAAGGACTGATAATAATTCATGAATGGCAGAATACAATGAAGTCCAGCATATGTGTTGGAAGTTGAGATCTCAATTTATTCTTATAAATGGTTAACTGGTGTTTCATTTACGAATTTTTTTTTGTATTATCCTTCGAAAATAGCCAACAACTCTATATTGATAAATGAAAATACATGAAATTGTTGATTTAGGGGCATAAGTTACCATAACACTCTTTACTTCAACTAATCGTATGTACTCCCAAAAACTCCATCCAGACTACTACAACCTAAGAATGCTGATTTTTTCAGCCCTGCTGCTTATTTAGAATGATACTGTTTACGAATCACTCCTTCCTGATAGCTTGCTTTTTATTTTCTCATAATACGTATTAATTAAACAAGAAAATGCAGTTCTATTTCTCAAACTTCGACGGACCCTATTGTTGGAGGAAGCGCAAAAAGGAAGAAAATGAAAAACTTATACCAACATGAAGCTTACAACTATACGATAAAGATTAGCACAGTAATATGATATTGAATGGGTAAATTGTGGTTTAGATTCTTCTATTTTCACTTAAATTAACTTGGTCCCTGAATTTTAAAGTAGATGAATCTAATCCCCAGATTTCCAAAATTCAGGGCAATATGTCCCTTACTCATCACTCTGATAGCTTGTTTGTTGACATGGCTAACCGGTCGATACATGGCAGCCGCCTGACTGACAAATATTAATCACATGGAATCCGGGACCAAATTTCACCAATTTGATCGATTTTAAAATTAAGTTTGACTATATCGTACAACTAAAAACACATTTTATCCATATTAAATCCATCATATGTATATATTCAAAGACAAGACAGATAGATAGTAATTACCAATTTGGTTTCAAGTTGGCAGCCACATACAGGACATAGCCAGTAGTCCCAAGAAGCAAAGCGTTCTTAGAGCCGAGAACTCGACCAAAGAAGCAACCACGGAAAAGAATGTGAAAGACAAATACAAGATCCCTAGAGAAGTGGTACCTAAGTCATCCTCCTGAATTGAAAATTCAAACATCGCTGAAATACTAAAGCATCAACTCAGACCGTTACTCTACAACCTCAATTTCCTATCTCGTAAACCAAACAAAACCGCAAAAAAAAAAAAAAAAAAAAAAAAGGAAAAATACTGACAGTGTTGAGAGTGCTCTGCAGATTCTGGGCGGCACCGAAGGCGAGAAAAACCAAGAGAAAGGCCAAACTGAGGATGTGAATATCCCTGGTGTGACTCCTGCCCTTCACCGCTTCGAGCGGCGAATTATCGGCGACGAGCGGCGTCTCTTCGTCGCCAGGTATTGCAGAGGCCATTGATTGAAATTCTAGCTCCCGAGTGGTTGATGGATGGCTATAAATATTCCCAAATTTGCTTTCGTCAGACGTCATGATTCCATTAAGATCCAAACATGAAAGCTATTTGCCGGCCCCAACTTCCTAGCTATAAGACGCATCCATAAGTTAACACATACCTACATACAGTGTAAATATATATAAATATATTTACAGATACTATCCTAAGATTCCCCTTTCCATTGATGGCCAAAATCAAAATATAAAGTTCCCGGATGTTGACGTCAGTATTATTGGTTTCCCCGTCCCGTCTTCAAAGAAAAATTATTTTATAGGTGTAACAGTGTTGCCCGCTTTATAGTTTTTCTTTTATTTTAAAATAAATAATTCAAAAGAAATGTAAGAAATAAAATTTTATATAAATAATAATTAAAAAAAACGTGAGCTTGTATCTGGAGTGGGATTGAAATATGTAGTGGTGGATTTAAGATCATCTAAAATGGATAATGGATGGTTTGGATTAAAAGAAAGATAATATATTTGAGTGAAGGAATAATAGTGCATGTGATTAATAAAATTCAATATAAAAATTAAATAATAATATTTTTTTAGTGTAAAGATAAAAACACTTCTATTATTATAATACATAACTTAACTAGAAATAATAATTATGATATAATTGAATAAAAAATGTTAATTAATTTATATTGTACATAATATTTAAATATATTAATATTATTTTATATATAAGTATAATTAAAATTATTTAATATATATTATAAAATATTTTTTGTTCTAATTAATTTATAAATTTAAAATATTTCGTATTTTGAATGAATATTTAAAAAAGTAAATAATTCTTGATGAGTCGTAGGACTTTTTTATGTATACTTCTTAAGGTGGTACCTTACCTCCTGATATAGAGTTATTATTTGAGTTTTTAACATGAATTCTGCATCTTCCAAATAATATTTACCTACACAAAAAAAATATTAGTTAGTAATTGTTATTAACTATTTACGCTAAGAAATAAACGTTTTCATCAAATGTTGCATACCTTCTAGTAAATATTCGAGAGTCAGATGCAGTACATTCCCACCTTACTAGCACAAATGTGAATTTTATGTCAAAATCACACGCCACAATCACATTTTGGGTTGACCACTCTTTTCTACCATGAAAACGAGGGACTTCCAATCGCTGTACTTTGAAGCGGACATGTGTTCCATTAATCACACCTAGACAATCATTAAAATAGGGATAAAATTTGGGATTGTTATAGATGTGTGCTTGCACATTCGTTCCTGATAGTTTAACCAAAAAATTTTCCTCTAATTCAATTACCGCATTCAACACGTTGTGAAAATGTCAACCCAATGTCTTACCTAATCGATGAAAGAAAAATGACATGATATGTTTTTTAACATTGTGTCCTAAAATATGTAAAAATTTGACAACTTGTTCTTCAACTGTTGACTTAAATGCATATTTGACGACGTTAATTGCTCTTAATCGATGACACAAATTGATAAAAGCATCCAGTCCCAAGCAAATAATATCACGACATTGCTCCAAATGAACCAAATATGACATTAACTCACATCTACCATGATCTTTTTCAGGAGCATGTAGGTTAACATTGTTGGTGTTATTGGTATACATGTGATCTAACATGTATAATGCAGAGGACAACATAACATGGTTAGTGTCGAAACATTGACATTTTCTTCTATCTGATCATGGATCTGACATATTAAGTTCATATCTATCTCCAAGACATTAGTACTAAATTATTCTTCTTTTAAATTCATATATTCTTCTTTTCGATTTCCCATGGTCAAATATTAATCTCTATGTAACAAAAAAAAAACTTAAATTGTTAGGGTTTATTATGTGTGTTGGGATTTATAATCGTTGTTATGATTAGAATTATTGTCGTATGTCTCGTTATATTTTTCCTCCACAACCCAACCTCTCATCTTTTGTTCTCTTTCAACTCTCCTTTTGAATGGATCATTCGTGGTATTTAGCTAAAGTTTGCATCTTCTCTCTCCTTTGACTCTCCTCATTTAACTACTTTTTTTTCTTTCTTTCGTGAAACATCCTTTTCCATCACAAATTTCTTTAACATGCAGGATAAGTATAAGATGAAAGACGAGTACGAGATGGAGGGTAGATACGGGTGGAAGACGAGTCAAACGTGGAGGATAAGTTAGAAAACAATGGAACCTTTTGAATTTGTTGCGAAGGAGAAAGATCTACTGTAAGATGTACTACATGTAAGAGAGTAATGAAAACTTTTGGATATGTTGTAACAGAGTAAGATCTACTATGATTAAGGTAGATTTGTGATTAAGGACATACGATGACGATTATATTTATAATTGTCGTCGTATTGATAACTTATAATGACATGTTAAAACCGTCACCAATTTTATAACTTTTAACAATGATTGTAAAATCATCGTTATATACATTTTTAATTGTCGTTAGATCATTTATTTGCATTAGTGAACAAAAAACTTAGGTATAAAGATTTTTTGTAAACATTTTGTACTCATGATATTGATTTTGAGAAATTGAAGCTTAAAATTGGTAAAAGAAATTTTCTTTAACTTCATGACAAAACTTTTGATTCTTATATTTGAATTTTCAATTCAAAATGATGAATTTTTCTTGACTTGTCAATCAAAATTGTATTATCTTTTGATTTATCAATCTTGATTATTACGTCTTCTTTCAATTCGATGAATGAAAATTAGTTAGAATGATCCATAAACATAAATTCAGATTTAATTAGATCCTTATCCTATAGTATTTAATAAAGGTTTATCTATTAACATGTTATTCTATGTGTGAAATGTGTAACTTTAAAAACTTTACGTAATTACAACTTGGATAAGGAAATTTAATAACATATATTTCACTCAATCATTGTTTATCATATGATATTTCAACCAGAATTTGAGTTGAAGGTGTTTACCAATTATTGACTATTGAAGGTATCATATTAATAGTTTTTATATAAATCTTGTTGTAAGATGTTATTGTGACTTGTCCCTTATATGAAATATTTCTTACACCTTTTGCTTGTTTAGTATACCAATGTATAAATCCACAAATTCCTAGCATTTTTTTCAAAAGCCAAATTAATGGCCTTAACCAAGTTTACAATAGTATAACAATGGTCTCCACACATCTCATGCTAAAATGTCACAATTTTTTCCTTGATTTAAACAAGTCAAGTAAATCCATTTGAATTGATTATTAGAATGATGTTTTGATAATACACAAAGTTTGATATAATCTCATAATGATATGAGAATAAATAATATTATAATATATAATTTAGTACAATTATCATCTTACTACGTTGATTTCGTAGAGTTGAGTTTGAAATCTTATCATTTCTAATATAGTATTAGAATTAATTATATCGATGTTGAGACATTATAAAAAACTCTCACATGAGATAAGAAAGTATGAAGAAAAGTATTCCTTGATGTGAGGAGGTGTGATAAAACATTCTCCTTCAGATGAGGAATATGATGAAAAATCTCCCTTTAAGATAAAAGAATGTGATGAAAAAATAAAATAAAATAAAATAATTAAAAATAAATTTTATTAAATAAATCAATCATTTAATTAAAATTTTAATAACTCAAACTGAATTAATAAAATTATTTTATCCAATTACAATTTAAAATAAAATTTATTATACATCTAATATTTTTATTAATATTTTTAAATATTATGTTATAGTAAAAAAAGATGTTCAAGTATTAATTAATTATTTCTCTAATTTTTTAAAATGTTAATTAAATAACTAAAAAATAATATTATTTATTATAAGGTTATTAAAATATTTACTAATTAATATGTATTCATTAATTAAATAATTATAATTTAGTATTTGCAACTTTAAATATAATATATTTATAATATTTATTTAAAATTTATTGCTAACTATAAATTAATATAATTTAATATTTAAATATTACATTTGAAAAAAAAAATCCGGTACTCCAACCAAATTCCAAATACTACATACAGTAAATGTACTAACACAATAGGAATTTTTCTTCTTATATATATTAAAAAAAAATTCTAGCTACCATTCTTCCAAGTAAAGTGTTTATCGAAATAAAACAATTATTATACCCAGAAAAGTCATCAACTTATATTAGAAGCCCACTTAAAGCTACGAACTAGGTGAGTCCCACGTTCTGGTGAATTCTACTGTTATACCCACACATCCAAGGATGGTGACAGGGTGATTTTGTTTTTCATCTTATATCATCTCTAATAGTATATTATTGTAAGAATCCAAGTAGTCTCATTATATTTAAATAATTTTATAAGTAATTCATCGTTCACCTATCCTTTTTAATTTTAATGAAACCGAAAACTATGTCTAAATATTTGTATTCTAAATTTTTAATTTGAAATTCGAATTGAACTATTTTAAAAATGATGATTATTAAAATTTTGATTTTGAAATTTTCATAAATATTCCTCCTCAAACTACATCTACAACTTCTCTCATTTATTTTGATTGCGAAAACCATCAAGACTACCATACTAGTTATTTTCCAAGTAGAAAAACAATACAAAAGTACTGGCCTAATTTGAAACTCAGATTATCATTTGCAATCCACTCAACAATAATTAGAAAATTTTGCTGACATGTTCCTCAATCCAATAGAGGACTTGTGAGAGGATAATAAATTTAACAACTCAGCATCAAAAAGAATTCAGGAACGTAAACTGGGAAGAGTACAGAGAGAATTCCAAAAAGACACTAGAAATAATAAATAAGGGCACAAAATGTTCAACGGTTCCTGTTGGAAGATGACCAAGTAGAAGATGACCTTGAACCTCCACCAGAACCAAACCCACTTCTCCTATCATCACCACGCCACCTGTCGCCATCTGTCACCATCAGGCCGGGAACTACTGTTACCCCAGCGGTCTGTATCGGGAGGAGGGGCAGCTCCTGTTCGAGGGGCAGTTCCTGTGCTTTCAGCTCTCTCTCGCCTGAATTTAGGGAGGATGTATTTTCCAGGAGTTGGAGCAGCTGCAGCTGCAGCAGGAGC